GAAGGACCAAAGTGTGTCTTTTATATTACGGTAAGGTTAGTTTAGTAACTTGGATTTTGGATTTTGTAATACCCAACTTACTTTAATTCGACACCCTTCGGGTGAAAAGAAAGAAAGGAGCTAGATCAAATCAAATCCGGCTCGAAGGACCAGTACATGGAGATTTAATAGACAACTTAGTAGCTTAGGTGTAAGAATAGTTGGATTCCAATTATTTTCCCAAATATTTCTAAAGATTTCTGATTTCTGGGTTACTTTGTGATAACCTTTCGCTGTTTCAGGGATGGCAATATTTTTTTCTCTGTGTGCCAAATGCGATTATACCTCTTCCACTGCATACTTTCAGGCAGTCGCAGGAAAATGACTTCTTGAACGGCAAAAGCCAAAAGCAATAATGTGAAAGAAACGAGAATTCGAGTGGGGCACCAAGAGAAGAAGAGAATTAGCATGCAATAACAATGAGGTGGGGGTGGGGGGTTCGGCTCTGTTTCTGTTCTGTTTTATTCGCTTGAGGTCTCCAAAAAGGGGGCGTGAGGTCGTCGGGCCGGGCATGACTAATATGGGTCTCTCGCCTCTCGTTCTTCGGCGAGGTTAAAGTCTTTTGGGGGTAGTTCAAAGCCGTCGGCCCCCCCGGTTTTTCTCAGCGTTTTTATTCGTATTCCCCCATTTCGCTGCCTTCGCTGTAATAGTGTAATGGCGTGCCGACTGGCGGCAGCTTGTAGGTGTTAAGTAATGGCACACATACACTGGGTATAGTGGGTTAAGAGGGGGTGGCATTAGGGTTATTCGCTGAGGTCGCCAATTATCGGGGACTGCCACAACACGTATGGGATAAGTCCAAAAATGTAATGGCAATTACGGACTAATTGGAAATCATTCCGAAGGAATTACCAATACCCCAAAAGTTCCATTTTAATTAATGGCTAATATGTAATGTAAATAGTGAGGGGCGGGCTAAATTGGTAGGGAACTTATCCTTTGAAGCCTGAAAATGATTAACCTTTTTACAAAAATTCCCTAAAAAATACCATTAAATATTTACAGCTTTGTTTTCGCGAGTTAATCAAATATTTAAGGCTGTCAAAACTTTTTTTTTACCGTTCAGAGTGACTTTGGGAAATAAGAAAACTGTTTTTGGTATAGTATTGCTAATGCTCTAAATAAATAATATTGCATATTTCAAAGCTTTTTTTGAATTTTGAAATAATGATTGGGGTGATAATCCTTTCTAAGCATATAATAACAATAACAGAACGAACAAATAGGTGTATTTAAAGTTCAGTCCCTGCTTTTCCTTGCATTCTCATTTATTATTTTCGCCAGAATAGCTGGTCCCCTGGATTTTTACGGCCGTCGCCTGGTAACAGGCTGTGCAGTCATGAATTCCACCTTACATAATTGAACAAGCATTCGCCGGAACAAGGATATACAATATCACACATGCAGAATATGTAGTTATATGTATGCAACAGCTAAGAGCTAAGAAAAGCCGCTCACCAACTGCAGGCGAAATTCATTGCATACCTCCGGGAGTCCGGCAGTCCGGGAATTCGGAGTCTGGAATCCGTTGATGAAAGTTATTCACTTGCCGGATCTTACACTCGAACAAAAAGATATAACAATAACATTGAGGCGAACATCTTTTCGGTGGAATTTTCGGACGCTATTCCGCGAACCTCTGGGTTTTCCAGCGATTTTCCACACAGCTCGACTGTTTGCCTGCGAACTTAAGCCAAATTCGATTAGACGCGATAACCGTTCTCGGCGCCAAACGAACGCCGACTGAACTTATCAGTCACTCAACTGAACAGCGACCCGGCCAACAACTACAGCTGCAAATCCCTATGTGCGTGTGTGTTGGTGTTGCGACGACAACGAGCATGCAACAACAACATGTTGGACCTCTCACACACACAGGCAGCCACAGTGGTCTCTAGCTAAAATGGGTAACTTTCTTTATCACATGCATTTCTTTAGTTTATGAAGTTAACTTATCACTGAAGAAAGAAATAAATAAATTGGGGTCACCAAAGCCCATTTAAGAATATTTGGGTCTTGGAGTCTTATACCTATCAACCGCAAATTATATCCTAAAAGTCTTTGGAATTATGTAATCACTTAAGAAAGGATTCTGATTGGGGTCACCAAAGCTCATATTGAACACATAAACTGGCTAAAAATAGTTGGATCATCACGTTTTACACCTTTCGAGTCTCAGCTCATTGAGTTTTAATGTAAGGCACCAAAAGAAAGTTTTTTCTTGAAAATAAGCGGAATATATTGGGGTCACCAAATCCAAAGTTGGAGTAAAACGTGTCAAAACATATCCCGATCAAGGAGTGTTATAACTAACCAAGCTAAACTCATTAAGTAATATAAAGAAACAGTTCTTCTTCGTGGGGATCACTGTACTCCGACACACACACACACAAGAACCCCGAACACGGTGGACAGGCGGACTATTGTTGACTGCACATTTCGTTTATTGCTTCTGCTTCTGTTTTTGCCCCTGCCCCGCCCCCCTGCGTCCTCCGCCCCCAGCTTCTGGCTCTTCCTCTTCCGGCAAAGCGAAGGGGAAGTGCAGGAAAAGCCGGAGAAACAGACAGACAGAGAGAGAGAGAAAGAGAGGCAAAGGAACTAACGGAGGAGCCAAGGGGAAATCCTCGGCCAACTGCAGTCCATATATAGAGTGCAGCGTAAGCTTTTTGGGGCTTGGGCATGTTAATGGGGTCACCACTGCCACGCCCACTCAATTCGCCCCCGTCCTTACAGCTGCGATTGTTGTGGCAAAATGTAAAATTGATCAATTTGGGCGTCAAGTCTGGCAGGGACTCTCGCTCTCTGTCTTTGATGGCCAGGAAAAACCCATACCCATACCCATACCATTCCGGTCCATCCCCCACTTTGATTTTCTTTCCGCCCATCATGTGCAAATATGTATAATTTATGCCCACTTCCCGGGGACTTGAAAACGCAGACTGGGCCGAGGTTTTGGCCACCGCCGAACGCCCTAATTGTGTTGGCAGTCATAATGCAATTGAAGGGTGGACTGCTGGTCATCAGATGGACATGATGGTCTTTCTATAAAATCTCTCTAGAAAATATATTTAAAAAAATAAATAAATAAAATATAAAGAATGTAAATCATTAAGAAATTATTAAAAAGCTCTAAGTATTTCTGTGGTAAACAATAGAAATAAAATATATGGGGTCTCCTAAGAAACAAGGTCTTAAATACAATTTTGAAAAGAAAGTAAATCCTTTAAAAATTTTTTTTTTAATTATATAATTTTTTGTAATTTTTTTACTCATTTAAAAAGATTTTGTTCCCAACTCTCTGTAATACAGGGTATCCAAGTAGCATATACCGCACACAACCAACGAGAGGGGATCGACAGAAGCCCACCCACTAACCCACCCACATCTATTGTGCTCGTGTGCAGGCATCCTCCCCCTCCCCTCCCACTCATCCCTCCCTGAAACAGGCAGAGTTGCCACATAATTCGATTACCATACATATATGTACTTGCAATCGCATGCAGTGCACATCTGGTTTTGGATAAAAGCGTAAGTCCCACAGCACCCACCGCCCACCGCCCACTGCCCCTCGAAATGGGAGTGGCACGCACCGCACTGATGGATGAGTCGCAGCGTTAAGTGGCGTTAAATCGGGGAATTCGGAGCGGGGGGACCATCGTGTTTGCATATAAGGCAAATATATGTATATAGAAAGACATGCACAGCGAGAAAAAGTTAAGTGGCTTACAAAGTAATTCTCTTTTAGCTAATACTAACTATGAAATACCAATCAAGGTAGTTTAGATCCTCAAAATATCTTAGAGAAAAAATCAAACATAAATTAATTTATTTTAAACAACTTTTCTTTTCTGAACTTTAGTAAAAAAAAAAATTTTTTGATAAAAAATCCATATATTTAGGTATATTCAACAGTTGATCTGCTTCACTTGTAAATTGATTTTTTCCGTGTAGCCCGGCACTAAGACTAATATGTCATGGGACTGGACAGCAATGGCCAGCTAAACGGAGAAAGGGGGTGTTAGGTACATATACAGAATACAGATGATGGAGAATAGGATGTAAGCCCACTTTTTTTTGTACCAGGCCACACTTTAATGTGTCAGCCGCACAACTCCAAGTGTCACTGTGCGAATTGCGAATTGCGGATTGGGGATTGCGGATTGCGGATTGCAGACTGGGTATTTGGACGACCCAGTGGCCAGGTTGGCCAACCGAACGGATGTGTCGATATGCGCATTATGCCTCAAGGGTCCTTCGGCCTCCACTTTCGTTGCCACATTGCTGTTGTTCTTGTTGTTGCTGTTGCTGTTGCTGTTGCTCCACTTCTACTGCCACTGCCACTTCCACTTCCTGAACACCCACACACACTGACTCACTCACCTCACCCACTTACCTCACCACTTACCTCACCACTTACCTCACCCACTCGACCAGATCACAGACAGATACGCACACTCGCATAATATTTTTAGGCCAGTTCTATGCACTGACAAAGATTCTATTCTATTTCATCTAAAATGGATCCTTATATAACCTATTATATATTACAGAAACTAAAAAAAATCATCCAAATTGTAACCCAAGTATAAAGAATAAAATTGTAAATTATCAAAATTTTTCCATGGAAACTGAAAATTTGTTTGTTTCAGTGTAGGCCAGTTACATTTTCCCTTTGCCTGCCGTTTTCCCTTTTTGTTGCGAGTTAATTGCATCAGTCGCAGGCATCGGCATCGAATGCACCGGCAGTGATTGGAATTATGCTGTTGCATTAAAAATGTAAATTCTGTGCGCGTCATAATGCCGTATATACCCCATATACCCCGCCAACTTGTGTAACTCTGGCCCTCCGTTCGCCTCAATAGAGCATTCAATTACACGAGATGGGGAGTGTGAAACTGAATATGAGTATGAATGTGAATATGAAAACGAATACGAAAGGGGAGTGTGAAAAATGGAGAGCATTCTCTTTAAGCATAGCGTATATTTACATAGAGCCGTAGAACGAAAACGAGAACAAAAAGAAATACAATAGATTTTCACATTCACGAGGATTTGGAAAAAGTGCCTCTGGGCTAATAATTGGAATTATGTAACTATAACCCAAAAGGTAACTCAGGGGAAATCGCAAAACCCAGAAGAATGTGAAAACACCCAAAGGTACAGTTGTGCGCACGGCGACTAATCGATTTCCAGGGCTCGAAGACTTTGTGTAACGCCCGAATCACTCGACTTTCGCTGACCATTCTTTTTGGTCTTGTTTATCTGCCAGTTCTCCACATCCATCAGATAGTCCCTGTATAAATAAGAATATATGTGTGAGTAAGATCCTTAAGAAACAGCTAACAGCAGCCACCTCTGCTCCTTGAGCAACTGCATCCACTGGAGCTTCAGGTCGGACATTTTCCCGGCCTCACCGCCGTACTCCTCGGGCAACATGGAGCGCGGGAAGTGACGATACGGGGTCTCGGCATCCGGCAGATGGAAGTGGATCAGCTTGAAGACCTCGCTCTTGATGAAGGGCTTCACGACGGCCATCACCTTGTCCACGAACGAGGGGCAGTTCAGCACGTGGATCTCCTTGAGCCGCACGGGATGCGCCTCCTGGACGAACTTCATGTAGACGCGCAGGGCACCCAGGGCGGTTTTGGTCAGGTGGCGCAGCGTGTAGCCGGCCATGTCGAAGACGGGTATCTCCCCATCCGACAGGCGCTCCTCGTCCTCCGTCGCAAAGCGACAGTCGGCCACCATGAAGAAGACCTTGATCGCAGCCGTGAAGTTGAACTGTCAGAAGGAACAATTCTCATGAGAAAGTAAGCTTATGAGATCCTTAGATAGAGAGATTGAAAATTATCGATATTTTCGATATTTTCGCCATTTTGATACGATAATATCGATGTTTTTATGGGAAGCTCCTCTTAATTATCGAGAAACAGCAAACTGTCGATATTCTTTCAAGCTATATATACTCAGATGGGATCCCAAAATATGGAAAATAAAAAGGTATAAAAACTAAAAACGAAAGAAGGAACATGAAAAAATTGAAAACATGTCAAATATGATGCAAACATATTTTTTAAGGTTTCAGTAACACTTAGACACTTTTATTAGCTTTTTTAAAACCAAAGAAATTAGGTTAATGACTAGAAAAGTGTGCAATAATTTGAAAGTCTTAAAATTTTATAACGAAAGTCAATGATTTTTTATCGCTATATACTTTTAGACACCTTTATAAGTGGTTTTAAGCTCTTACTGATTTATTTGGATTATTTATGTGTAAGGATTAGTATATAATTTTATTTAATTTCTAAATTTAAATTAATTTCAACTCACCTTGTCCGCATCAAAGTCGATCAGGCGGTAAAAGAGCAGCTTGTTGTTTTCCGGGGTCAAACCGGGCAACGGCACCAGATCTCTGAGTAAGTAAGTGAATTGCGACAGGCAAACGGTTAACATAATTCTGGGTACCCCATTATATTGTCCATCCCAACGAAAAACCGGTTGCTTGGATATTGCAAGCCAATGCACTCTGTGTACACTGGGCAGAAAATCAACACTGCAAGTTGCAAAACTCACAGAGCTCAGAGATCACCTCTGAAAATCATAGGTTTCTCCCAATTTCACAGGAATCTCAGCTAATTAAAAGTTGATTGGACTGCCGCCACTAAAGTCTCAAAGTCTCAATCAGTGCTTAATGTCTGTATTAAAGCGTTTATCTGCCAGTAAATTTCTGTTATAGCTTTTTCTTTGCCGGTACTCATTTTTATTGATTTTCTGCTGGAGATTTTAAGTAGATTGTAAACTTGGTTTGATTCCTTGCGAAGCAAATTATGATTTTCCGGAACTAAACATTGTTAAATGGCTACATTTTGGTTGGTTTTTTATTTTTAATTGCAGTTTTTTTGTATTTTTTATTCTGTTAATTCCTTAAGCTGATAAACACGTCTAACTTGGTAATAAACATTTTTTTAAGGTTTTAAATTTATTACCTAAGCGGGCAGTTTTATTTTCTTTTTGTTTTGGCCATTAACTTAAGCACATGAACAATTGCTTTGAACAAATGCATATATAAATCTTAATTTTTTTTTATTAACTTAAAGGTAACTTTTGGGTACATTAACATTTTTGGTAGGTATACAGAAAATGGCTCAGAAGGCTTTATAAGTAGTAATGTCCCTGTTTGTTTTGTAATCTAAATTCTCGTTTCTGGTACCATATTAAATCTTTTATCATATTTATAACATATCATATTTATCATATTTATAACACTTAGGATCAGTTCAGATTTTTAATGGTTTTAAAAACAGTCCAGAACTGAGTCCTTTTCTTGAAGATAGTGATCCTAACTCGCTTTTTGGAATACTTGAGGGACGTAAGGTTCCCTATTTTTTCGATCCTAACTATATCCTATATCATGGTACTCACGCGACTTGCAGCAGCTGCTGAGAGCTGTCGTCCAGAGGATCGCGATCGATGAAGATGTGGGCATGCTTGTTGCGCAGTCCGTAATTGAGTTCCAAGAGGCGCTGGGCGGCGGATGGATCGCCACGAGTCGTGTGCAGAAAGCGTCGCAGAAGCAGACGGGCTGCGGAGAAGGAGAAGGAGGATTCGGATAAATATTGAGTTGAGTAGTGAGTTCAGGGGAGCTGTACAGCTGTATACAGGTGCATTCATAAGTCACTGCGGTGCGATGGTTATGCAACTGGCTGCGGTTCCCATCGCTCAGGCAATTGACCTATAAAGCAAGTTGGCCAATTCCACGATAGTCACACAGTGCAAAATTTATAAGAACTAATTACGACCACTACTAAAGTTTTAAAGAAAAAATAATAGTCCGTAAATATAATTATCTTAAAGGAAATATTAAAAACATTTTAATATTGTGTTTATCACTTTGAATTATTTAAATACAGTATTTGATATTTAATTGTAATATAATTTAATGACATATTTGTAATATCCTCATGATATCACTTTATAATATTTCCAATTGGAAATAACTTTCAGATACGACAAAAATCGATCATTACAAAAAGCACAAGAAAAAAAGTCACTTTGATTGAGATATCCGCAACGATGGCAATTTCTTTCGGTGCTTTCTTCACGAAGAAGATGAAGAGTGGACTTTTGCGATCCACTTCCACTAAAACTACACGAAATACGAACATATATTCTGCGGTAATTGCGGCTGCGACTTGAGCCACTCCTGAAGATCCGAGATCCGCTTGGCCATCAGTTGATCCTCGTTTTTCTCGTTCGATTGGACCATTTTGAAGCGGTATCGCTAGCACCCACAAGAACTATCGGAATTATCGGACTTCCGGGAGGGAGCGAGACGGAGTTGTGTATTATTTTTAAGCGAGACAGCGCGTCTGTGCGACGCTAATTCGCGACTGCAACTGATTGGAACTTGGTTTTTTTTGGCTTTTCGTCGACTGGAACTCTGCCGCTGCCGCTGCCGACTTCGCTGCCTCTGCCGGCATCGCAAATAATAAGTGCTTGAATAACGGCGAAAAGGGGGGAGGACATGGGGGTTAAGTCTGGCAACATGCTGTGCGATCATGCAACGTATTTGCCTTGTGGCGTTGCCATCTCGCCGTTTAAAGGGATCTACTTATAAGGAAAAGAATCCTTAAAAATTATCCAAGTTATAAATAGAAATAATATTAATATAACTTTTTATAATAATAATGCCAGGAAATACTTTTCTTTTCTTTTGATTTTCTGTACTTTTCTTTATTTTCTGCTGACTCCAATCGTTGATCTAGATTTGCTTTCATTAATTTAGTTTTAGTTTAACACATACGTATGCTAATTTTTGTACACACACAAAAAAAACGTGTATCTTAAAATTTGATATCTCAACTAAAATAAATGGTAAAATTTACTTGTCCCATATTTGTATTATTCAGTTGCTGTTGAGTAATTTCCACTATGTCAGAAGGTCGAAAACCGCCAGGTGTGTTGTTTTCTTTTTTGCGTGTGCGTATTGCGTGGGTGCTGTGCGGTTTTTCCGGCTTTCCACCCGGCGGTTGAGGCCATTGCCGTATTGCCATGTTTGGCGGCATTTTTTCCACCACTTACTCGTTCGCTTTGGATTTGGATTTTTTTTAAGTTTTTTTTTCCTTAGCTTTATCGCGACATTGGCAAACAATTTTCGGCAAGGCGAAGTCGCGCTCCACTTGTTATGCTGCTCTGCTCCCGGCTGAACTAGCCAACTGAACTGGCCAACTGAACTGGCTTCGGACGTGTTTCGCAAGTTAAGCCCAATCCAAAACCGAAGCCAAAACCAAACTATTTACAACCGACCACGCTGGAACGGCGACAACAAAGCATGAGCATGAATTAAAACAAAACTGTCAAAAAGAAGCAGCAGCGGCGAAAGCGAATTTGGATACCAATTTTTGTTAGTGGCCCACAGAACACAACTGCGATCGTATTTCCCTTTGAGTTTTACAGTGAAAACCCCTCAAAATAGCTCTAAGATATGCAGTTCAAAATCTATTTTTCCAAAAAATTTGCTTTCTTAAAGTAAACTATTAGTAAAAATAATTTTTTTATAACTTTAATAGACAAGCATTTGTGACTCTAAAAACACCTTGAATATTCTGGATGAATATTAATAATATACTTTTAATTTGCCTAATGCTTTTCTAGATTCTAGAAAATTGCGCATACGACATGTTGTCCTTCTGAAATATATATTTCATTTTGTATTCTTATTTTCATAACAAAGTTAACAACTGATTTGCTTTAAATGTATAGTTAAACTAAGTAATAATTAATTTGAAGTATCCTTTAAAAATTACTACCAAAAATTAATCATACGACACGTGGGTCGTAAATTTAAAACCCATTTTTCGACAAGTTAAAAGTAAACATTGTTTAAATTACGGAAGTCTGACTGTATCTTTCAGCGGCCAATTTAATGCAGTTGTAAACTTATTAAGCGCAAAAGCAAAAGCAAACGCAGCGAAAAACACGCACAAGTTCACATTTATTCAAGTCTCTTGAAAACAGCTGAGTGGCCTTGAAAATGGAACTTAGCCGGCCCATAAATGTTTTAAAACAAAGCCCAACTCGGAGTTTTGGGTAAAAAAGTGCTAACTGACAAATTAAAATGGTCAACGTACCATTCGAATTATACATTTTTGTGGAGTTAGGGAATTATGGTCATGTGAATACGTCTTCGTTCTTGGAACTTTTCAGCGACCTTAGCTATAGGGTTGTGCACTGGAAGAAAAATCACATTTTAAGTTATTCTGAAAAGCAACATTATTGTAATTAAATTTATATATTAGAAGATACTATAATCTGTTCTCTGAAAGGATAATTCGAACTGAAGTTTTTGAATTAATATATTGTAAAGTATTTTTACTATCTTTACTATTATTAAAATAAGGATCATAAATTAACTTATTATTTTTCTGATAAAACAGCAATGAAAAATGTCGTCGTTTATTTGGGAGTGGAGAATTTGAATTCTGATCAGGCAGAGTGTGTCAATCGCGGCAAAGTGCATTTAGTAATAATACACTTGCTGTTTGCCAACTTTGCTTGCATAATTTTGCAAATCAATTAGCTAGAATATTCGCACTGGCTGCTAATTGCAGTCGCAGCATCATCAGTACGAAATACAAACTACAAGCGGTCAATACAAGTCATTTCGGCAAAGCAAAGAATGATATACAGTGGTGGTCACGAGTTTAGCACACTTTGCTCGCCCATCGTATTTTCGCCATATCTCCTTTCTCGTTAGAGATTTCGACTTTCTGTTTTCACCCACCTTCGTGCTGGAAATAGAGCAACTTCCACTGTTAATATTGTCCCATTCGCTTTTACCGTTCTTCTTTGGCGATATTTTAAGTTGTGCAACCTCCAAAATGAGCTGGACACGAGTTTAGCACACTTTAGCACATTTATACCTTTTCACCCTTCTGATCATTTTTTTTCGACTTTTTACTCCTTATTGTTATTAGTGAACCTTAGTAAGGTACAAAAATAAAGAAACGAAAAATCTAGATAAATCGCAGGGACTCTGGTACATAAATAACTAAAATTATCTAAATATCCCATTTTTAGGCAGGATAAGTGTCCTAGTTGATCCTTGTTGGTCCTAATCAATTATATTTACTTGTTTTACTTAAAATTAAACAATTATAAGATAATGCGGTTGAAAACATAGAGCTGGGACCTGATACAGTGACTCCACATTGCATGGCATTTCAGCAGATCCTGATTTTCGAGTCCCTTCAAATTTTCTAAAAATCTCCGGACCACATATTTTTGTAGCCAATTAAAAGACAAACAAAATGAGGTATATATCATTAGGATCGGTTAACAACTTCCTGCGACACGCATAAAGTTCTAAATAAAAACATTACAGCTTTAACTTAAAGCACGATTTGCATACAAAATTTCATAGAATCGAAACTTGAATCTTAATATCAAAGTGTTGCTATGTCTTTGCCTACGAAGTTGTTAACCGATCTTAATGATATATACCTCATTTTGTTTGTCTTTTAATTGGCTACAAAAATATGTGGTCCGGAGATTTTTAGAAAATTTGAAGGGACTCGAAAATCAGGATCTGCTGAAATGCCATGCAATGTGGAGTCACTGTATCAGGTCCCAGCTCTATGTTTTCAACCGCATTATCTTATAATTGTTTAATTTTAAGTAAAACAAGTAAATATAATTGATTAGGACCAACAAGGATCAACTAGGACACTTATCCTGCCTAAAAATGGGATATTTAGATAATTTTAGTTATTTATGTACCAGAGTCCCTGCGATTTATCTAGATTTTTCGTTTCTTTATTTTTGTACCTTACTAAGGTTCACTAATAACAATAAGGAGTAAAAAGTCGAAAAAAAATGATCAGAAGGGTGAAAAGGTATAAATGTGCTAAAGTGTGCTAAACTCGTGTCCAGCTCATTTTGGAGGTTGCACAACTTAAAATATCGCCAAAGAAGAACGGTAAAAGCGAATGGGACAATATTAACAGTGGAAGTTGCTCTATTTCCAGCACGAAGGTGGGTGAAAACAGAAAGTCGAAATCTCTAACGAGAAAGGAGATATGGCGAAAATACGATGGGCGAGCAAAGTGTGCTAAACTCGTGACCACCACTGTATGCATTTTCAGATAAGGCAAAAACCACTCGCACAAGTCGTTGCTAAAATCCCTCAGTCACCAAAAAGAAGAAAAATTAATTATCATTGGACATGGTGCAACTGGTGGTCAGTCGAGAAAAGGTTTTCGGCAGTCTACGATTTTTACTGAATAAAGTACCGCTCATTACTTCGAATTCTGCAACTCTTTTGAAGTTGTTAGTTTGTTTCTCAATACTTAAGTCAAATATTTCAACTCACATGTTGGGACATCAATCTTGAGTCTGCGTTTTCTATTCTTTTTCGCCAATTCACTGCAATTGATTTCGTTTCAACCAAGTTAAATTTTCGAACGCGATCTAAACTTGTTCATTGCTTTTCAATGCTTAAATGTCAGTTTCTTAATTGGCCAAAAAATCGAATCAAAATATTTTTATACATAACCCTCAGAAAGTGATTTCCAACCCAAAAATCTCGCCGAAACAATGGAAATATTGATCCAAATATGGATTGTCATACCTTTCTGAACTCGTCATAAAATTTCCAGTCGATTGGCATTTAAACCTGGACATTTTATTTTTTTGCCATTTTTCGTAAAAAATCATGATGTACCCCCTTATAAAAAAATTGAAAATTGTCAAAAATTTTATTTTTTCAGGATCACCCGGAAAGTGTCATGGATTTATTTATTGTTTTGTTATCTGTTCAAAATAGTATGTATTTTTGGTGTAGGACCATTTTTGGCGAAGTTACAGCAAAACAACCAACAGAAAAATTCAAATTTTTACCAAAAACCCAGATCCTAATTTTTCACAAAAAAATAGTTCGTTTTTTGACCATAACAATGGAAATATTGATTTAAAGTATGGATTGTCATACCTTTCTGAACTCGTTATACAATTTCCAGTCGATTGGCATTCAAGCCTGGACAATTATAAAAAAATTGAAAATTGTCAAAAATTTTATTTTTTCAGGATCACCCGGAAAGTGTCATGGATTTTGTTATTATCTTGTTATCTGTTAAAAACAGTTTGAATTTTTGGTGTAGGACCATTTTTGGCCAAGTTACAGCAAAAAAACCAAAAGAAAAAATTCCAATTTTTGTCAAAAACTTAAATCGCGAATTACCAAAAAAAAACAAAACCCGTTTTTTCGCTATAACAAAGCAAATACTGATTCAAAGTATGGATTGTCATACCTTTCTGAACTCGTTATTAAATTTCCTAACGATTGGCATTTAAACCTTGACAATTTATTCATTTTTAATTTTTCGCAAAAAA